TCAAGTAAATACAGTTGTGGACTTATCTGAAACTGGCTGTTAGAAGAAAAGGTGTCAGAACAATGGTAAATTAAGCAATAACAAATGACCCAAAGAACAAAAGCAGTCATTCCAGAGCTCTGCAGGAATGTAGGAATGAAATGGCTGTGGAGCTAACAAAAATATACAATGTCCCATTAAACTGGTAGAAGCCTGATTCCCTTCATGGCTCTTGCCCAATTGCTATTATAGAACAAAATGTTATTTGCTTGCTGGTTACAAGGTTTTCTGGAACTGAACTATTAACAGCTGTTTAGAACAGCATTCTGTTCAGCGTAAGGGTTTTTTTGTTTTTCCCAGTTATTCTTGAAGTTTTCTATTTCCTGCTGGAAAAGAAGAAGCAATTCTGTACCACATATATTAAGGGAAAGGACATTGATATGGACCTCATTTAACAGTGCTCAGAAATTTGCAGTAAAACGCAGAAGTGTATATAACTCCTAGTGGTACGTTCTGATTGAACTGGCAAGCGCTGATAAAAACAAAGCAGCTCTTGCACCATTATTGATATAACAAATAGTAAGTTTTTCTTGAAATGTGTTTAAGTGATGTTTGGCCAATTGAGAATTGACCAGAATCAACTGTCAGAATTCTGCACTTCTTGCTTGAAAATGCAGTAGACAGCATGGGCATTGTAAAAAAAATATAAGTTTGAGATAACTGTATGGTCTTAATTCTTGTGTGACTCTGAAATAAGATTGAGACCAGAAGCTCATAAGAATTCATTTCAATAACTTAGACCCTGATTTTATTGCTTACTTCATCACACTTTGATGTTAATCTGTTTAAAATATTTTATATAGAAGGTTGTGTAGCTTTTTTACCAGTACAACTATATCCATAGTTTTTAAAGTCTGACATGAAGAATTTATTGTTTCCTTTCTGGCACCCAGCAGCTAGAAGTGAAGACCATAGGCCATTCATCAATATATTCCTATTTTTGGAATAAAGAATTCCAAACCATAACTACTATTTTGCCATTTCCATCCTAACTGCCAGATTATTTCCATCTTCTGCTCCTTGCGATTTTTAAATCCTCTCTTCACTGTATTCATACATATTGTATTCATACATATTCATACATCAGGATTCTCTACAAATAAATGTTTCCATAAAGTTAACTATATCACTGACAAGAACACCTCAAAAATCCTTTTATAACTCTAAGCTAATTTGCTTTTTCATTATAAACCATATCAATTATTTAACAATATGGTTTTGCTCTACACTAAACATATGTATAGAATTCTTGTTAACTTACGTGTTAACTTAAACAGGCACCACTGATTTTTGTCCAGAAAAAGCCCAAATTCTGTTGATAAAACTACTCTTTCCTGCAATGCAGAAATGGCACAGTACTAACCATTTGAGAAGTCAGGCTCTGATAGTGTTGATTAGTTGATCTTTTCTGTTACAAAGAGTACACAGAAACCTGCATAACAGGTTGTGGGAGCTTGTTTCACACAAGGCTTTGTCTCATTACAATTTTCAGAATTAACCTGAAACTTGAAACTTTTACTGAGAAAGGCCAGTTCCAGTGACTTGGTTGTGAAGCACTAAAACTCCTGCCACACACAAAGTAGTGGATGGTTGTTGGAATACTGCACCCCTTCCAAAGATTTAGTATCTTCTACCAGGTCTTGATTCAGGACTTTATTTTGATGCTTTGCCATTGTGCCTACTTTTTCATCATCATTGTATGCTGCTGTCTCACCATTTCAAGCCTGTGAATGTTGATTCGAAGAAGCTAATTCAAAGGAGACAAAGATAATTGCCAAATTTGAGTTTTCTGTTTCAAGAATTTTGTTAATTAAACTTTGTGAGATAAGATATTATACCTACTATTTAGTTATTCAAACTTGGAACAGAAAATAAAGTTCAATCTTAATTTAAATAATATAATAATAATCTAAAATCAAGAGGGATTGGTAAAATCGTGCTGTCCTGCATTCATTATCAAACCCTACAAGGAGGAAATAATTTTTCTAAATTTCTTCTTTTTCTGTGTGAACACAATCAGTTTTCAGAAATATCTGAGAAACAACTACTACTGTACCTATATTTCAAACAGGGAAACTGAGTCAGAGAAAGGTTCTCATGTCTTGGGCATGACTGCATACAGATCAATAGCCGTGGTAAGACTAAGGCTGAAGAATTAGTAGCTGTTGTGTGTTGACCCATTCCATCATAATACACTACCGGGCACATTTCTTTTCACATTGCAGAAATTCTTTCTCCAAACTGCAGTGCTGGGAAACCCTGTAATTATGCACAGAGCACGTTAGGACAAAAAACAGCCAGTAATTTTTGGCTCAACAGGTTTACGTAGAACTTTAGAAACTCACTCTCACTACCAAGAATATTCATTCAGTCATCTTAGGCCACTTTGTACTGTTTGGATGGTAGTGGAACAGATAATCAAGCCCTTATAGCATAGCATAAGGACTAGTTCTTATAGCATCCTCAGAAAGCCTTACCAGCCTCAGTGAGGCTTTGTACTAGTGCAGGGATTAATTCATGTGGAACTAATTGCTGAACTGTGGCCTAAGTAAGAAACTGGTCTAGCTCTATTTGCTTGTTACCCAGTTGTCAAAATGTAGTGCTCATTAAGTGCAGAAACAAAAGTCCAGATAGATTCTTTATATCTGAGAAATGTGTTTCTTGTATAAGAAGAATATAATGAGTAACTCAGCAGCAGAATTTAAAACTTTGTTGAAAAGAAGGGAACTCATAGGCAGGTCTTTTAAACAATAATTATTCAGAGGCCCTTCTTCTATGCATGTTTTTATGTAATTTTACCCAAAAAAATTAAAATTTGTACAAAATGCAATTTAGCTACCTGAGACCACAGAACATGAATGAGACTAAAAAAAATGCTTTTAGTCCTGCCACTCTTTTCCATAACACAAACTCCATGCTTGGTGTCATTTGCACTCTAATTACTTTTCTCTCTATCCTTAACACTAATCTGTAGAACACAGTCCTAGTTGCTACTCTACGCAAGACATTCCTGGACTTCTCTAGGTTAACCAACCTGCTGAAGTCCCTAAATCATGATCCAACAGAGGTCACTAAATTGAGAGTTACAGATGTCTTCTTTCACCAACAGATGTCAATAATCTGGTGTAGGAGGCATGACAGCATATTTTAGCTAGCAAAATTTGGCATGGAGATATTATCTGCTCTATGCAAGTACCAATCAAAAATCAATCTTTAAATAAAAGCAAAACCACAAAGACTAAGAATTGGAACTAGCAGTTGTCAAAATTGTTCAATGTTACAGCATTTTCAGGATGTACTCAAGTTCTAACATGATCTAGAATGGAGCTGGAATGCTCTGCTGCCTAACATCACTGAGGAGCAGTTTCATAAAACATTTTATGAAACTGAGTCTGCCTATCTTTCAAAAAGAGCAATCACACTCTTCTCTGACGCACATATCTACCAGGGAAGGCACCAACACCTGTGTAGCCATACAAAATAATTGCATCAGGGTATTGACCTGGCTGAAAATTAACCCAGTAAAATAAATTATTTTGCTGAAAACTCACTGTGGTTTGCAGCAGGATCCATTGTCTGATCCAGCTTTCTACACACAGTTTACCCAAATGCCAGGACTAGACAGTGGTGAAGAACATGGAGTCTTGAATGGAAAGGAGAGATAGCTGAGTTTCACCATGTGTATGGTTCATGTGTTCCAGATTAAGCCATGAGTATAGAAGTCCTACATCAGATAGGCATTTAACAATTGCAAATTCCAACTGGTCATGTCAGCTAACCAAGTAACTAAATAAATATGCCAACAAAGCAGTTGGTGGCAAATACAAGACAAAATCTTCAAAGCTGTGTCTGGGAAGTTTAGGTTTCCACACGTGAGCCCACCTATGGCTTCCATTTGTAAATGTATCTCAAGCAGCATTTATCTGTTCCCAGCAAGATAAATGGATCCAGGCATTCCCTTGCCCTGTCCCTCAGGCATTGAAAACCACCACTTAATCATCCAGTAAGACCTTTCAACCCTGATTATCTGCTTCTTTGCAAGTGTCAGTATTCCTGAAGGTAGGCATATGTAAAGATGCTTACCTCCTGCTTCTTTTTGACTGTGAAAAGACTAAACCACAAAGGGATTCTCAAATAGTCTGTCCTGGTTATCTCCTTCAATCTGAAGCACATCTGCAGGACCAGGATGCACAGATTAAACAGGCATGGACAAGACTTCCGAAGACTGGTAGCTAGTCTGTATATGCATTGCATACAGGATTACACTCAGAATTCAAGACACTTGGCTGCAGTAGCAGGGATTGTTTCTTTTCATTAGCACTCAAGATATACCTTTTACAGTAATCCAGATTTTTAAAAATAGCAGCACAAAAATCCTTATAAATAACTGTGCTGATTCTGGCCAGGAGAGGGTTAATTTTTGCAGTAGCCAGGAGGGGGCTAGGCCAGGACCCAGAGATTGTTCTATACAACCTGTTGTCATTTTTGGGGTCAGGGGAAGGGGTCCCTTCTGGTTCTTGGAGCATGCTGGGGAATTCTGCATGGTGAGCACTTGTCTGTTAATCATTCACCTCTTCTACACTTCATCATTAAAATTATTACTGTTCTTTTTCTTATTTGTTGCTATCTTCAGTAAACTGCTTTTACTTCAATACATGTCTGTATTTTATGCCTCTTGTTCTCCTCTCTATCCCACCATGGTGGGAGGGAGCAGGGGAGCAGGGGACTGAGCAAGCCGTGTTTCACTGGGAACACTAAAGTGGGAACACCATTCCTAAATGGCAATATCTTAACATTTTCAGGAGGGCTACTCGTAGTAGTAGATGATACCAGAGAAAGTAAATCAGTGTAGTAAAAACCACAGGTTACAATTAGATATGTCCAGTAAGTTCATGTTCATGTTCAGATGCTACTGCTTCTTTAAAAGACTGAGTAATGATACTTCTTTTCCCTCCATTCAGGTGTAATCCTGGGATTTTCTCTTCGATCATATAAGATGAGCTATCGGGAAGTGAAGTACTTTTCGTTTCCAGGAGAACTACTCATGAGAATGCTGCAGATGCTGGTCCTGCCACTAATTGTATCCAGTTTAGTCACAGGTAAACTGAAGCAAAACAAAACAAAATATACCCCCACACACCCTCTTTTGAATAATTTTATAAAAATGCACACACCAAAATCTAAAAAGTGAACATTATATGTCCTAGAAGTGTTATAGCCTGCAGAAATACATAGCATTGCTATTGCTGCTTTAGAGGCAACGTAACAAGAGATTTGAATTAATATAGAGAGAAAATGAAAGATGGCTTTCCAAATTCATAGACAAACTAACAGTACAAGCTACTATATGCAGCTGCTATGAAGCTGTCTCTGTTTTCCACTCTCTTCTTTTACTTTCTGAACAGATATTTCCTCCACAGCGTCCTATTGTTATCAAAGATAACATATCTCAAAAACACAGTGCCAAAACCCAAGAAAGTTGAAACTGTTGACTGTGGGCAATAACACACGCCTGTAACCACAGATATGCAAAACATCTGCCTGCTAGCTTTCCAGCAATAGATTAGAAAAAATGGAATCCTATAATAGAATTGTTTGAGTTAGAAGGGACCTTAAAAATCTGTTGCAATCCTCCTGCCATGAACAGGGACACCTTCCACTAGAGCAGATTGCTCAGAGCCCCATCCAACCTCTTCTCTGACACTACCAAGATGGGTCATCCACAACTTCTCTGGGCAACCTGTGCCAGCGCTCCATCACACTTACAGTAAAGACTTTATTCCTGATACCTAGTCTAAACCCACCTTCTTTTAGTTTAAACCATCTTCTCTCCTATCACTACAAGCCCTCTTAGAGGCCCTTCAGGTACTGGAAGGTGTCTTAAGGTGTCCCTGGAACCTTCTCTTCTCCAGGCTGAGCAATTCCAGTGCTCTCAACCTGTTCTCATGAGAGAGGTATTTCAGTCGTCTGATCATTTTCATTGCTTCCTCTGGACCTACTCCAATGTGTCCATGTCCATAGGGAATATATGGATGGGATTGAATGGAAAGTTTGAAAGAAACTTAATCCCATCAGTTCTGTTTTGTTGTCTTCTGGTCAGCAGCTCTAAAAAGCTTTGAATGCTCTTTACCAAGTTGTTCCTCTAACTTGTGATATAATATTTAATTTCTTATGGTCATGTATGTCTTGGCATTCCACCCAAGTTTTGTGGAGGACTTTCAGATTTGTTATGAATGTTTAGGATGTACCTGTGATGTATTTATTCTTTCAATTATCTGAAGAAAAGAAGGTATGAATTTTATTCTATCGACAATTCAGCTTGGAGAACTTAATTAAAATCATCTACTGTGCAGTCCTCGTATCAAAAACACAAACGCACTGCATTGATTGACAGAGAATCCAGATAAGTTGTTGTCTATTTAATTGATTGTCAAATATGTTAATATTAAGATCTCTTAAAAATGCAAATGAGCAGAGACTCACATGTTCGCAGAAACCAAAGGAAGTGTATAAGCTGTTAATTCAACAGCAGAAAACTAGGGTATTCATAATTACAAAATCGTTTGCCTTCTCATATTTCAAGAAAAAAAAGTGAAGTTTGTTTCTGTGCACACACACTATATGGATACTGAAAGTTAAATGAACACTGAAACTAGGGAGTATAAGTTTTGTAGGAGAAATAGAAAAAAAAATTAGGTTTTATTCCCAACCACTATATAGTTTTGTTACATGTCATACATTCTCCCATCTTCTTGTCCCTTTCACCTGCAGAACTCTGTGGATTGGGAGGACACTGAGAGAAGAACCATTAAAAGTAGTAAAGGAAAGATATTTACCCCTCGTCAGTGTCAGCTGGCACTGCTGCTCAATTTTGCAGGATTAATTATTTCAGGAAAATTTATCTGATCAATTCTCAGTTCCTGATAACTGCAATAATAGTGGTTCTCTGAGAGAGCTCAAGGTAAATCAGGAATAGGTAAATCCTATACAAGAATTGGAATGATTTTCAATAATCTAAGTAGAAAAACTTCACTCAGGCACGATCAGCAAATCCATCTTAGAGAGTCACAAGCGTCACAAGGAACTGGACTTTTGATGAAACAATCTCATTTGCTGTGTCACCAGCTCTCAGAAGAGATTTTGTGAAATATCAGAAAAATTAGTTTCCAAGTAATCCTATTCTGAAAAGAGTCTTCATTCTCTGGATTCAAACAATACCCTTCTTTTCATGTGTTTTTCTTTCCTTTTAATGCTCTTTATCCTTTTTTTTTTTCATAACAATAATTTTCTTTATTCTAGAAAAGCATTTGGCAAAGAGAAATCTTCTCTATCGGTAAGATTTGCCCTGCTATCATCCATGTGCCTTGTAATATTAGGTGGTTATTTATATTAAGTGGATTATACTTAGAGATCCCTTTGAAGTAGAGACAGTAATTTTCAAGGTGAATAACAACATTTTAAACTTCTTCAGCTGGGTAGGGAGCAATCAGAGAAAACTCAATGCAATTACAAATGGCAGATTTAATTTCTTTTTAAGAATCATTCAGTACAGCAGGACTATACCATTTCTCATTGGAATAAAATATTTTTTCAAATTATTCTAAAAATTGTGGAGAAAAGCTCTTTTCTACACTGAACAATACCTCACTTAGCATACAAATTGTTTTTGTAAGAAGGATGTTCTTACATATTTGCTGCAGAGCTCTCATACAAAAATGAACATGCAGGAATTAGTGAATATCAAAATATAATTAAATATAACCTTTGCAGGTGTACTGCGGTGCCATTTTATGCATCCTTCAATTCTTTTTTTATGTTATAGGATAATTCAGTGGATAGAAGTCTTATACTTCTCAAGTTAGTCCTCAGACCACTCAGTATATGGAAGGCAAATCTCTTATTTCCTGTATTTCGTTTGGCAAACAAAGTGGATGCCTCTTAACTAATCTCAAAGGGACTCCTCCAGGTCTTCATCCTGATATCACACTTGTTTCTTTCAGTTGTCACTTATTTGAATAAATATTTTGCTGTTTGCAGGAGCAACAGTGTCTCCTAAAAATACTGGATTTCCTGGGTACTGCTGGTTTTCCTTTTGTATTTACGCAAGTGTGATGGATGTAACTGTGGCAAAACCATAAATTATGGTCTCGGTGTTATTAGGAATAGGCTGGGAATGGTTACTTTCCCTTGCCAACTTTGTGAATGTCAAAGAAGTTAGAACAATAAAATCCAGTTAATAGTTATTGCACTGTTATAGAAAAGAAAGATAAATTGAGAATCTGAAGACTTCTGTTTACTCTTCAGGTAAACAGTTCTGATGGTTATTCACAGACCTCAGGAAAATAAACTATGCAAGTTGAAGTCAATGCAATCACATTTCTTTACCCCTGGTTTTTGTATTTCATGAAAGAAGCAACACAGGATCACATTCAGAGGTTTTTCAGTCACATTTGCATTATGACTTACCCCATTGCCTGTGGTTCAAGCAGGTGTGCAGCTTTCTCCATGAGATTCTATCTTCTGACGTGTGTTTTACCAGGCAGGTACTAATGTCTGCTTGGGAGAAAATAGAGGTCATTTGCATACCATTCACCATCCTTTCATATTTATAGGAAAATATGATTACATGCATGTCTATATTATTTATTTTTGTGGTCTAGACACAAATTCAACTCCATACTCAGTGTTGGGTTTTCTTGTCTACAATCTTTAAAATGAGAGAACTCCTATGTCAGCATTCCCAATTGGGATCTCATATGAAGTCAAAGGAAAAATTAAAACATAGTATATGAGAGGAAATGTAAATAACCAAATAAATAAATTCCCATTTGAATTGTATTATGGCCAAGTCTTAAATATGAATTCCTGTACAAACAGAAAGTTGACAATTTTGCTCTGTTTCTGTTTTGAATTTACAGTAGTTATAAGAGAAAAAATATTTTATGCTTTCTCATTTCGTTACAGCTTGAAGCATTTTACATGAAAATTGCTTTACACAATTATTTTAAAACATACATTGTACCTAAAAGATATATAAAACAAATATATGTGAATATGATAGCAATTCAACTCATCATGAAATAGTCAAAGCCAGAGAAAATTGCACCAGCAATAAGAGCACTATACATTAATGTTTTTTGAGCTGTTATGGCAAGATGATGAAATTGAAAGTCCAGTCCTTAAAACTGGCCCACAAATTTTTTTCCTGCATGTTTCAGATATTCACTGAATATAATGCAGTCAGAATGAGGTATCTTTTCTTAACAAAACCCGTCCATGAGAATGATTCACAACCAGTCTTTACAAAGAGCATAGTTTTAACATAATATTAGTGAGAAATTAATGCTAGAGAAATTTTGTAAGGGTTATTTGCAGATATTTTGCACAGTTCTAGTCATAGTTCAGTTTAATAGACTGCTTCTCCTTCCACAAAATTTTGAGAGCTTGGAATTTATTTTTACAGGGATGACTACTTTTAAATGCAAGTGAACTGGTATGAAATTCTGTGCAATTATTTCAAATATCTTTGTCTGGTAAATCATAGCAAAGCATAAGAAGCCCATTGCAGACCTGACACTAATTTTTGCTGCACATTGCAGAAGCAGTAAGTCTACAGTTTGCTTACTAACATACATCAAGATGGGGAAGGAGAACAACAGTATAGAAAGGGTAAAACTGAGGTCTGCTGGCTCACCAAGGATTATACAACAATTACAGAATGGAGCAAAGACCCCATTTGTGAGTACCAGTACAACTCACTGTGCACTAGACAATACTGATTGTCCAAACTGTTTCTGGGAATAACACTAATATGGTGCAAATAACTCTTAACCACTTACCAGGATTTTGTGCACAAGGTTCTGTACAAACAGACCATGGATCCCCTGCCAAAAATAGAAAGCTGTGTGGAAAAACAGTTTAAAAGAATGAGTATGGAAAATGTACTTCAAAGAAGAAGAGCATTTTAATATGTAGTTTGTATAATATCTTAGTTTAATTTTTTTTACTTTCTAACTCAAATAATGTAGCTATCATGAGTGGGTTCTGGAAGAAACAGAAAATTCCCTGCCTCTGTAGGGTTTCGGTAACAGTCAACAAC